ATGTTTCTTGCTGGACACCCATCACAGGGATGTTTCGGCCTTCAGTCGCATTGTGCTCCATGCTACTTTTTCAATAAAGCTTCTTTTTATCCTTCTGATTACATTACTCATGTCCTTACGTATTGGGGATCTTACGGTATTAAATGTGTTGATTTGGATAGCTTTTGTACAAAGTTATATTGAAAAAACCGTCTCGTTCTTAATTTTTGCACACCAGTGTATTATAGCAATGTTGCGGGATTTCTCAAGAGTGGAAACTGCAGTAAAAGCTAAACATAAAACCAATATGGGTGCCATCTTTGATGCTTCTATCTTTAAGCTCATATTAAATTTTAATATTACAAAAAAGGGTATAAAGTTAGAGAACATTTGCTAATAAATTACTGTTATTTATTCCTCTCTAAAGCTTTAACTGAGTTATTTATAATATAAAATATTTCTTGATCTCTTGTTCAGAACTGATCAAAATTATGCAGTGAAAAAATATATATTATAGAAATCAGCTTACAATAATGGAAAAAAGTAAATTCATATTTAAAGACCCTTGTTTGTTTAATTGATACTATGCTGTGTCAAATAAGCTGAGAGGCACTACCTTTACCAACAATTTGATTACAAAAATGAGTAAAAGAAATCGGACAGTTTCTTGTTATATTTGAAATATATCTTAAAATGGTACTTCAAAGTTGAATGTTTTAACGACTAAGCTCTGATGGATTTCCAACATTTGGTGCATTTTTAGTAATTCACCCGAGTGCTGCCTCACCAAGCTCAGCATCATACATATTGTTACGAAATGCCCAGCTGCAGTAAGATAGCTTCCCTGCAGAGTGGGTTTAGATTAGCAGATTTGACATGAAACCGCTCATTTGGCGACATGCCATAGACAGAGCGAAAACATTCTAGAACGAATTTTTATCAGTTTTCCCGAGAATGTTCTCGAAGGCAGGTCAAAAGCTATACATATCCCATCTGTACATAGGGTAAGAGCGTACCTAGAGTAGGTTGAGTTCAGATATTACTTTGAGAGGTTATCAACCGAGTCGGAAGCTGTCTCCATCGTTATAGTCTGAAGGCTATGTTGCTGATTGTTTCAGTGTGTTTATTGTAGCTGTAAATGTGTCTTTGGAACTCTCCTGCGTAATACTCATGTATAAATTGTGTTTTGATTCATCATTGTCATCAATCACTCGAAATGTAACAGTGGTGAATGATGCCGATTGCCATACTTGATGGCTAAGTTTGAATTCCGGAGAAGGCATGGATGTTTGAGCAAGGGCAGGTGAGACACAAAATACATGATCAGCTAAAATTTTCAAGAGGTTAAAAATAGGGAAACCTTCGGACCTTTTTTAAACTTATATAACGCTTCCCTGAATCAAAAACAAAATGTTTGGTTTCTTGTTAGAAATTCCAATAATGCATTATTTTAAAATCTCAATGCTGCAGTTTTGCTGGAGGATTCAAAAGAGAGTACCAATAAATTTGACCTTTCCTTTTAACAATAAATGCAGCCAATGGAATTCATAGGCCCAGCAGTGATTCATAGGTATGTCAAGCCCCAAATGTCCATTTATGAGGGTCGTTCAAGGTTGACCAGGATTTTTGTACGCAAATAATCAGTGAATATCCGGATCGTGATGAAACTTCCGGGTGACATAATGTATTCCTTGTCAAGTAACTAGTGCCCTGCATGATGTATTTGGCACATGCACAGCCATTGCAGCGAACATAGCAGCAAGCAACGAGTCTGTGGAGCAGAAGTGTGTAATTAAATTTCTTGTGAAGGAGAAAGTTAAAACAGCTGAGATTTTCAGAAGATTGCAAGCACAGTATGGTGAACAAATGATGTCAAGGACCAGAGTGTACAAATGATGTGAACAGTTTCATGAAGGATGGAAGCTGGTGACAAATGAACATGGACACATTCGTCCAACTGCAGTCACACCAGTAAATACCACACATGTTGAGCAAATTATTCTTGAGAAACAGCGAGTAACAGTGCGGGATATTGCTGCCAAGGTGAATATCAGTGTCAGAAATGTTGAGAGAATCATTCACAACCACTTCTGCAAAATTCGTGCAACGTGGATTCCTCGCCAGCTGTAATTTGATCAGAAGTGGTCACGCATGACGGTCTGTGAACAGCTTCTGATGGATGCAAAAAAAAAAAAAAAAAAAAAAAAAGAGTCCTTCTACACAAATACACATTATCTTACCTTACCATCTCTCTCCTTCTATTCCCTTCAGCTTATGCTGGAACCATGACAGAGATTGATATGAATGAATGACAATAAACAAACATCAGATCTAATACAAAGAAAAATCCATCAATGAAAACTTGGGGAAGGAGGGGCAGGCAACTTTAGTATAGACTTTGAAGGGAGGATTCAGAATTTTCAGGAGTACAAGATTTTTATTCCTGAAGAAGTATGACCTATATATCTTGAATTTTTTTTAAAATCAATGCTGTCATTTTTGCTCAACTTTACAAATACCCCTTTCAGAATATTATGCATTATGAAGATTAGCAGCGGAATTTGTATTGGTAACATTATTCACAGCTGTAAGATGACTTTTTCTTTTTTAATGAGAACAAAATATTTAACCAAAGACAACACAACAAGTATTTAGGTAGAAGGAAAGCTTTTACATAAAATAATATAATAATAATAATAATAAAAAAACACTGTACCTATTAAAATATATATCCTGAATGGACAACAGAGACTTATTTAATTGAATTAGATAAAGCTATTTGTTATATTTTACGGATAAAAATTCTTTCTAGTTATTTCTGTTTCAGTGAGTTCTAAGTAAAAAAAAAGTCCTCGGGGAAGAATGGGATTTTAGATGAGGTTTGATTGAAATTCAAATCTTAAGTATTTTAAATTCAACATTCTGCTATAGTCAATTTAACTTAACAATGCATGTATTTAGGAATCATGTTAATACAATGCATAACAAAAATTATCTCTCACCTCCCCATGTACATCATCACTTATGACATCAGAAACTTAATATGCAATGAACCGTTATGTAAGAAACGTTGTTAACTTCTATAAAATTTTGTTTTTAATTTGATACAACTACAACAGATAAATAGTATTTAAAATATGGTGAAAAAATACAAAAATAAAATTCTGTAATAGTTTTCATAACAGATTTAAAATTTTTAAATGCTTCTTTAAAAAAAATGTTATTTTAATACAACTTACTAGAAAGCCCGGCGGTCATACGAAATGACCACTGTTCTAGATATTATAAATTGTAATTAAAATGATTTATGCAAAGATGTCTCCTAATTTAAACTGAATTACCCAGGGCAGGCGGTGAGGATGCCCCTTGAAATAATAAAATGTTATTTCAAATGTCAAAGATCTCTTTTGTATACAACATTTCTTGTGTAGATCTTTCCATCATTTTTAAGTTCGCCTTGCAGAGGACCATCCATTATTTTTAATTTTACGTCTGTTCTTTCACGAACTCTTGAACAGGCAACATAAAATTGACCGTGTGCAAATGCAGGCTCAGGAAAAAAAAAAAAAAAAAAAAAAAAAAAGCCAACAAGCTCAAGCATTTGGCCCCGAAACTTATCGATGGTCATAACAAAGGCAAGTTTTACAGGAAATTGTCTGTCTACATCTCAACTGAAACGGCAACCCTGTTCCATGACAACTTCACCCCACTGGCTAGTACAGTTATGCAAGCAACCGGCGACAGACATTTAAGCCGCATATAATAAAGATATTTATTTATTTCATTTGTTTTTCATCGTTGCCGGTTGCTTATTTCCAAATTCTATTATATATAGATGTTAAATTTATTTACTAAATGTTAAATGCACATGCTCTTGTATTTTTAATATTTCCGGCTTAGGTTTCTCATAATATCTGTCACGCACTGCACTGCACTGGGAATAAAACAATTGACAGCAAGCAACCAATAAACTATCGGTGACAAACATTTAAGCCGCTTATATATGTATAGATGCTTGTATTTTTTTAAACATATGTAATTAGTTTTAAGAAAGCTGCATTTTGAAATTTATTGTTTTTTTTAGTTTTCAAAAATTAAGGGTGGGGAGAAAAAGTACTAGAAATAAAGGAAATCACATATCGTTCAATTTAATACAGTCAAAAGTCGTTAATACGGACTCGTCAGGACTTCGGTAATTCCGGATTATCGATTTTTCCGAATTATAGATCATCAGTTTAAATCTGGTAAGATGGCATGCAGAAATTATAAAATTAAAAATATGAAACCGTAATTTATGAAATAAAGAACAATTATGATCTAAAGGGTATCAAAATTTACCCAAAAAAAAAAAAAAAAAAAAAAAAAAAAAAAAAAAAAGAGCTTAATATTTATTTGTTTACCTTATTAAACATTTCTTTCAATGTAAGTTGTTTAAGTTGCTTCGTTTTATGTGATAATACTTTCTCTTTAATTCTATAAACAGACATAATTTCTTGTTCAGTTACAAAGTTCCGCTGTTCAAGTCCCGTTAATTGCTGTGCTAAGAATACCGACTAATTTGTCAATCGAAACTTTTTCATTTTCAATAACGTGTGTCACTTTCTCCACTATCGGAAGCAAATTATAATGACGAGGAATTTGATTTAAATCATACCAAAGATGGAGTACATCGAGATGTAATACTACATTTAGTAAGGAATTATAAGCCAAATAAAATAAAAACATCTGCCCTGAAGATAAGGATAGTGCTGACAGATCAACTTCCAATTCATTGCGCACCGTGGCGTTCCCCCCCCCCCGCAGAATGTTTGTAGCTTTGAGGTCCGGATTATGGGTGTCCAAATTAACGACTTTTGACTGTATTTGCAAATTATTTTCAACCAGCTCTAGCAGAACATGGTACATATGTAACAGCTGTTTTCTGCTGGGGAATACCTAAATATTTTATTCACTTTGATAAACTTTGAAACAGATAACTAAATTGGAAATTTTAAAAACTGAAGAAAACAGTAGATCTCCAACAAAAGCCAAAATGTAAATTTTTTATTGAAATTTTCTGATACAAATTAGATTCACTAATGCTGGACAAATGATAAGAATGTATATAGAGAATTACAAACAAGTTCAAAACAAAATAATAGTAACTTTTTTCTTAATTTAAAAAATATTCCATAAACTGTTGATTTCTTAGTTAATTACGATATTCCAATGATTGTGTTTTGCATTATTAATCAGAAGTAAATGAATTCCATATAATCAATAAAATAATTAAAAATTAACTTTTCATATGTGATTAACTTATTGCACCATTTCCTTTTTTCCAACACAGCATACATCATACTTATGCTAAATAAAAAATTTATTCATAAATTGGAAAACTGCATACAAAAAGTTAAAGATGAATGGGGAAAAAATTAAACAATATTAGTATTTGAAGTAATTTTTAAAAAAGATTTAACATCAAGATAAAAACTTTTATACACAAAATGTTTCCTTCTGAATTCTAAAGAAAAGAATGTTTAACATGAATAAACCAAAAGTTCTTGTATATGTACAACAGTATTTTACGATTTAAATTGCAGTTTTATTATTTAAAGAATATTGTATGTTAAAATTCCTGTGACCATTCTATGAGTATGGAATTTTTATAAGTATAGACAATAAGTATGACACAGATACAGTGCACATTATCACTAAAAGTTCAGAGCAAAATGTTATTACAAGAAACACTTTTAAAATTTTAACATAATGATGCCTATTAAAGGCATTTATATAATTTCAAAGGAATTCTGTTAAAAAAGTTATAGTCAGATAAATAGAAATATTCTGATAGCAAGCTAAAGGATTTTAATAATGGAGCTTTTTATAAGCTCTATTATTCAAATCCTTTATGGAGAAGAATTAGAGGAGAAAAAATATGAAGCAACAACAAGAATGAGATAAACAGCTCTACATTACTTTTAATACCAAATAATTAAAATGATACTTTTTAATTTCCTAAATATTGCAATTTAAGCCTTTTATTTGACAGAACTTGAACATATTCAGAAGATTTCTACTTAAAAAAAAATTCATTACTAAATATTTACAACCAGGATGTAAGAAATAATCAAATGAATTATCTGTTTGTAACAAGAAAACAAAATTACAGCCAATTCTCACTGTACAATGCATATGAATATGAAATTAAAACACCCCATTCTCAGTACTGCATAAATAAAATAAATACCACTAGAGCAACCTGGATAAAAATATGTAAAAGTGTTCATATTATTCTGCTTGAATACTATTTGCTAAATTTTAAATCTAAGAAAATCGGAAGATTTTTCTAAAAAGAAAGGATTATATTACTTATAAAACTACATAGCGTATAGTCAAATATATCTAAATTTCGTTTGTGGAAACAGAAAAGCTATGGTCAGAAGCGCATAGAACTACTCAAAACGTAACACACGATTCCTTTTCTAGGTATTAAACTACATTTTACTTGTTAACACAATATCAAAAAAATTTACATCAATTTGACACAGTATCAAACTCTAATCATATCATATTCAGAAAAACAGAGACCAATGGAGTTAAATATACATAAATAAGCACTGTCAATTTACAGTTTGTAGCTCTGCTCTATCTTAAAGAGCAGGACATAATGTGGCTATGAAATTACTGAGAACACAAATTTAAAGTAACACAAAAAGATGAACGGGAGATATGAAAAAGAAACATACAAAATTTTTAAAATAAAACACTGCAAGTTAAAACATCAGCTTTAAATACCTGAAAATGAAAGTTTTGGTTATCATCATTATCTCAATACTGGCTCTTTCTATATATGAAGGATATTTTATTAACTCTTCAGTCAGTACACTTAAATATACTTATCTATCTATTCCTAAGGAAATTAAAAAAAAAAAAAAAAAAAAAAAAAAACTGTACCAAATAAAGTATTAAATGCTTTATACAATGTTTTATATGGTGAGAGAAATATCTGGCAATTTTAAAATTCCACATGGAAATGAATAAAACAATAATTTTCATTATATCACATAATGAAAATTTTAAAAGTATGCAATTACATCTTTATTTACTCAACTTCAGTAGGAACTTTTTTTTAATAAATTAAAATTAAAATGATAGCATTCAAAAATATTTAAAACATAATTGGAATTACTTAACTCTGAAGAGGAAAATTATGTTTTAGATATTTCATACATTGTAAAGGCTAATTTATTTGTTTTAACACAATTTTCTTTATTTCACACTCAATGGATATTTTTTCCACAGAAATTAAATACAATAGCAATCAGTAAGTCTTGAATTAACACAGCAAGATTTTTGTTTCTGAAAAACCAAACAGACAATTATTTTTGCTAGTATGATATTTTGCACAAAGCAACTCCTTTCATCATCATTTATTAAAGATGGGGGAAGGGGTGAAGAAGACTGATCTACATGAAATTTTACTTTACACTGTTAAACAATAACAGTTTTTTTTTTTACACAACACATCACATATTCACATACACTGACACATTACATAGATATATAAATATATATGTTGTGAAATTATAAAGACAAACAGCCTTATAACCACTGATAATGAATAATCCAGTCTATGTATTTAAAATTTAAAGAAATTTATTGTAAGCAAACACATGATTGATTTTAACATTTCCTGCAGTCTCATTTTAAATAAAGTAACTATGTTCCCTTTTTTTTTTAACTCTGAAACATTAAAATGAACCTTTACTAACTAATAAATTTATAGTACAGATCCAATCATGAAAGAAATAAGTCTTTTTAAAGAATCTTTCAGAAAAAGCTATTCGAGCAAATCTTTACAGTTCTATCATTAGCAACAGAAAAATCTGCAAAAATACTGGAAAACCCTACTAAATTTCATATGCACTGTTCCTATGCTCCTGCACATGTCACAAAATGAAAAAAATTAACAGATTTCAATAAAAACAAGGTCTTAGTTAAATATACAAAAATCTAAAAATTGATTACTGCATTCACAGAAGATGGCAGTGTCTAAATGCAGCTTTTTCAACGCATTCTATACACAAATGTTTCATTTAATTCACAGAGCTCTCCTCTGAAGTCAATTTCAATGCTGAAATCAAGATCTCTCTGGAAGAGGAAAAAAAAAAAAAAAAAATACATTTTAATTTATTGAGCATTAAATTTGTTGAGCAACTTTGAAGCTATGCTTCCGTTTCGAACTTTTCTACAAATAAAAATATATATGTATTAACAACATTTCGATATCTTAGCCAATTAATTTTTCAGTAGCCTTTTTTACAGCTATATGCAAGAGGTGACATGGTGTACCTTGGATGATTATACTTGGTTGATGCATTTTGATAAATGATGCTACACGTTTAAACTTTCCAATCATATTACTAGCATTATCAGAAGAAAATGATAAGCAATTTTTCCATGCTAAACCTTTGCTTTTAAAGTTTTCATTTATACAATTAAAAATACCTTCTCCGGTATTATTTGTGCACTCTAAAATAGAAATCAATGGTGTAATTATCACTCCCTTTTCTTTACTGTAATATGTAATTTCTTTACTTCCATCGGAGAAAATGATGTACTGCACAGTGATTTCATAATATCGGCAACAGTACTTTCTGCAAGCGTTTTCATAATAGCAGCAGTTTTGGTATGACTGCAGCTAAATTTTTTTGCTATGGCAGAATACGGAAACATTGCTTTGAAAAGCTCTTTGGAATGATCCGAAACAGAAAGCGGTAGATTGTGATCAATTAAAAACTGAACAAAATAGCATTCGGCTTCTACAAGACCTTTTTCGTCATCTTTTATTAAGAAATTTGTTATTTCTTTATATTTTACTGTGCCAAGTTCTATATGCTTTTGAGAAAAAAACATGCCGTTTACAGTCATCGTTTTCACCTTGTGCAAATGAGAAGTCTCTGTTGCATACACTGCAGTGTGTGTGATTCACAGAAACTTCAGATGATTTAATGCATGGAAATTCTGAAGAATATGAATCTTTAAATTTCTGTTTTGATAATTCTGGCTTTTTCGTTCGAGGTAGCATTATTAAAAAAAACCTTCCACCTGAATCACAGTTCACAAAACACACGCTAAGCTCTCGCCGTAATCCAAACATTGGAGACGAAGGCAGGCTAAACACGCAGCAGCAATGAACCTAGGAGACAGACAAAGTAGACAGATGTTGCAGGGGAACTATTGACAAGTCATTAGCGTTTGGAGTTACTGATCTACGATTGGCTATTTTTCAAAACAGCGACGCACTCAACACGTGATATATGACGACACAAGTATTCAGCCAATCAATCGGATAAATTAGTTGGTTCCATTTTGCGTACTGGTTCTACTACTCTGTTTCTGTAAAATCCGTAGTTTTTTATATACTTTTCGTAGCTCATAGTTTTTCATGAATTAACGTAGAAACTACAGAGAATCCGTAGTAGTTGGAGTCTATGTGTATTGTATAAAACATAAATTAAAGAACCTAACGAATTCTTACTGATTTTACACATAAAATACCCCATGGGAAAGCCTCTTGAAAGGTCAGGAGATATCCAAGTCCTTATTGAAGTCTCCTGAAAAAGGACACTCACAGCACATGCCAAGTTTGCTCCTAAGAATTTTTTAAAACAAATGTACAGCACAGAAACAAAGCTTGGAAAAACGAATTCTGATCTGCTGAAATATATTTCCCCCCCATAAAGTAACTGAACATTTTAAATTTGAATTCAGGATCCTCTGCTCCTCCCCACAAAAACAAAAGATAAGGTCATTTTTCAAGATGATTATAAATAAGACTATAAAACTCTACCAGAACTTGTAATGAGTTCATTTTCCCCCCTTCTCTAGTAATATGTTTCTTTAATTTTTAACGAAATGAGTGGACTGTGAAATTACGAACACTAACAAGTTTATTAACAGTAATTACTACACTCAGTACTACTACATGTTAGCTTTGCCGAAACCAGTGTCTAAGTGAGAGTTTCTTTCTCTCTACGACAGGTGGTACTGTATTCTAACTGAACACCTCTCGATCTACAATTTAAAAACAGCTGTTAATGTCTAAAATAATATTTTCATAAAACTTTAAGAAGGGAAGGCGAGAAATATTAAATATATATAAAGGAATTCTTTCATGACATACACAAGAGAAAACTGCAAAGCAGCTCTGGCAGTGGAATGTATACTTTTAAGTAAAATGATGTTAGTTAATCACCACAGCAGGTTGGCAAACCATGGGATATTTTTTCGCCAGGAAGTTAAATGAATTGAAAATAAATAAATAAATAAATAAAGCTACAGCAATACCAAACAATGCTTTGCTAGCATCTTACAAGGTGGCCTACAGAATCTCAAAATGTAAGAAACCTCATTCCACCAGCTGCTATAGATACACTAAACATTATGGTTATCAAGTTTGCTAGGAAGTTGCTTTTAAAAGTGGCTTTATCCAATAACACAATTAGTTGAAGAATACAACATATGGTAGATAATATCAATGATAAATTAATTGAAAAAATTAAAAAAGTGGAATCTTGATTGCGGCTAGATGAAGCTAAGGATGATAAGAATAATAAGGGTGCTCATTTGATATGCTATGTACAGTTCATAGATGGTAATAATATTAAAGACTTTCTGTTTTGTAAACATATCACTGCAGGAGCGAACGTTCAGGACCTGTTCGAGATCCTTGATGCATTCTATATTTGAAAATAATTTGAATTAACCATGTTGGTGTCTGTACTGATGGAACTTGCTGTATGTCTGGCTGCTATGAAAGATTACAGACATTTATTCAAAGCAAATCACCAAATGCACTGTGGACCCAATATATTATTCATACAGAAGTGCTTGCATCAAAGCATCTGAGTCTTGCATTAAATCAGGTGTTGATGAACATTCATATTTGTTGTACTACAGCAGTGCAGAATGGCTCTCTTGCATTGATGTTTTATCACATACCTTTGAATTGCAACAAGAAATTTTTATTTTCCTTAAAGAGGAACTACAAAGATGCATAAGATTTTACTGATGTCAATTTTTAATAAAACTTGCATATTCATGTGACATACCTGGACTGATAAACACTTTCAAAATGAAAATTTCAATAGGTTTGCATGGATTCAAGATCCATTTAACATTAGTGCTTTGTCTGAATTTACTTCAGTGGCAGAAGAGAATGCTATTGAGTTATCTTGTGACAACAGTTTAAAAGCAAAATTTGGTGACATGGAATTGGCAAAAAGTTGAACTTCAATATAAGATCAATACCCTCTTCTGACTGAAGAGCCTCAGCGGATTTTAATTCCACGATTTGCAGGCTCATGCATCACATTATTAATTTAATGTTGAACAATAAAGATACAGGAGTTTTATTTATTTTTATCTTTTACTTACGACTAGACACATTTTTGCTTAAGGTAGATTTAGCTTTTACTTACGATTACTCATTATTTTTGCTTAACCTTTTCCCGGGGGCTGGGACATATATGTCACGCACGTTCACTACTTTAAATGTGTCTCAAGAAATTTCAGTAAACTATGGAGATTTAAAATTTACTCCTTGATATGGATTAGGAAGTGCAATATCCTGTGGATTTGCTTTTCTGTTCCTTTCAGTTAAAATAAGTGACTAAATGGCCAAAATACATTCGAAATTGGACCCTATAGCCCACAGGAAAAGGTTAAGGCAGTAAGGCTCCAGGGAAAATTTTTAACTGAAAAAAGGGGGCCACGACTCTGGAACCACTACTGCAAGGAATAAACAAGAATTGGGATAAATATGTTAGGAATTGGACTGGTAGGAGTATGATAGAAAGCTGAGAGAGTTAGCACCTCTGTTGTTATTATTCAGTATGTATTTAAAACATTTACATGCATACAAGATAAAAAATATGTAAATAAAAATTATAACTTAAATTAGCAATCTCGCATTAATTTTTCATTTTAATTTGGGTATTTTCCTTCTTTTCTACAAACAGTAATTATTTATGTTAACTTTTCTGGACTGCTTTATTTTTAATCTATATCATGTGATATTTACATAATACTGGGGATGTAAATGGAACTAAAACTCAAACAGCCAATAATAATTTAGAGCTTCATCTAATCAGATTGTTTTGAAACTGAAACTAACTCACTCTGAGTTCATCTTTCGTTCTGAATACTTTCAAATGAATACTTTTCACTTTTACTCCCTTTTTTCAGCCTGTCTAGACTGCTGCTGCACATCTCACTTATTACAATTACAGTATTAAAAATGTAAATGCTTAGGAACAGGCAAGATTAATGTGCTATATAATTTCTGTCCACAAAAATGATTTATCCAAAACAAAATTAATATTTAAAATCTGCCACGACTGCCTTCTACTGTTCTGTGCTTCAACCTCTATTACAATTCCAATCAACATTCTCAAGCATGATTATATGTATAAAAGGTGTAATGCCATCAAATATACTTCACATAAATTATGCTTTCGATACAATGATATGGTAGCTTAAAAACATGCACAGATAAATAGTGAATGACAAACAAGTTAAACTTAATTTCAACTGAAAGATTTTAATTACCTTGTTCTTTTCATTTGGACACATCTTGAAAACACCATAGACTTCTTCGCCTTTCCTTACAGTGAGATAGTCATCAAAATAAAATACTGTTTGTTTCCAATGTGTGTATGGAGCTTCAGGAGCTATAAGGAATGATAAAGAGTAATATTAGACTGATATATATATACACAACACAGGTGATTATCACAATAATGGAAACAGCTGTGAATAAAAATGTTTAAGAATGCGTTTTGTAAGCAATAAAATAAGATCCTAGCTACAAGATTTTTTTTTTTTTAATAATATAAGAAGTATATAATATAGTAGTATGAAGTAGCTTTAGTGTAGCTGTATGCGTCTCAGATTTTCGTCAGAAGCGTAAAATGTCAGACCTCACAGATTTTCAAAGAGGTCAATTTGCAGAGGCCCAGCTTGCTGGAGAAAATGTCACTGAAACATGCCAGCTTTTAGACATTTCTATAGGTACAGTGCCTAACGTCATAACAGCATACATACAGTGTGGCAAAGTAAAATAGAGGAGACAGAAGGAGAAGCTGAATGAAAGAGACTGACAGATATTGAAGCAGATTGTAATGTCTAAAAAGAAAACAACTGCAGCCAAAGTGACTGCAGAGCTCAATCAGCATCTGGATTCTCCAGTGTCAATAATAAGTTAGGAGGCACCTTCATAAACAGAATATTTAAGGCACAGCAGCAATTCCCAAGCCACTTGTCACACATGTTCATGATAAATGTCATTTACAGTAGTGCCACAACCACAAATCCTGGTCAATTGATAAGTAGAAGACAGTTATATGGTCAGATCAATCAATCACCTTTCACAGTTTTCCCACAATGGGACAGGTGTACATTTAGAGGACACCCGCACAAGCGTATGATCGTTATTGTCTCCTTCCAATTGTCAAGCACAGAGGTGGATCTGTCCTGGTATGGCCAGCCTTGTCGTGGTTTTCTGCTGGCCCAACCATAACCCTGCAAGGAAGGATCACTGGAGAGGTATAGAGAAGTTTTAGTTAGCCAGGTCTATCCTGGCTAGCTAAAACTTCTCTGCACGGCATAAAACTATGTTTTATGTTTAGCTAAAACTATGTCTATGCAAACTTTGTTTCCTGTAGAAGATGGAATTTTCTAGGATGATAATGCTCCTGATAGTTCATGCAGCGAGACTTGTCCAATCATGATTTGATGAACATGAGGACAAAGTGAAACATCTACCTTGGTCCACACAGTCTCCCAAACTCCATATAATGAAACTGTTATGGTCTGTTTTAGAGTGTTCAATCCGCAATTGATATACTCTACCAGCATCTCTCTTGTAACTTTCACAGTATCTCCATGATGAATGGTACAATATTTCTCTACAGCAGCGGTACCTAACCTTGTGCTCGCTGATCATTTTGTATGTGCTCGTCAGCCCGATTAGGTACTTTATACAAAAAAATAATTAATTAAAAATAGAAGTTCAATTTTATTATAAATTAAGTTAACGTACCTCCCTAAAGTGGATTTTCATTACTTTATTTTCTATTTTATTACGATAAATTAGTGCACTTTTGTCAAGAACTCATGTGTAAGACATATGCATGCTTAACTACTGCTGCCCTCGTTCCAAATAATTTTTAGTAAGCTTCTTATTTGCAACACATAAATGTTCCTCTTAACAAGTCATTTTTGGAAGGGAAGGAAAATCTGCTTTTAAAATAGAAAGTTGTTTTCTGAATTAATAAAATAAAAACACCATGTATTTATTAAGAATTCAAAAGTTATTTTTATTATTAAAGTAAATAACTTTTTGAATTTTTTATGGAATACATCAACTTAACATACCAGTTGATCTTATATGAAATGATATTAATTTACGCACAATTCATCACACATACAAAAGAAAAAGCCACCCAACTGGTACAGTGCTTAGTGTCGCTGATTGCAATGCCGAAGTGCCCGGCTTCGAATCCCGGAGAAGGCATGGATATTTGTGAATTTTAGCGTCTGTGCGGCACTCTAAATAAGCGGCGAGCCAAAAGTCCTCTCATGTGGTTTAGTGGAAGGGGAGAGGAGTGGGAGATCCTTGGACCCGTCCTCCCCCCTCCGGGTGCTCTCTATTAAAATTGGGAGTGGAACTGAGCTAAACTGCACTGTCACCAGAATAGTGCTCAAGGCTGTTGCCAATAGCAGATGCAATCTAGTGCTCCTTGCCACGAGGAATTTCATGGGTTTGGACTGACTACGTCAGACATGTGAGCATAAGGAACAACAACAAAATAAAAAATTCAACTTTATAATGCTCTCCATAGAATTTGGCTTCAGTTCCCCTCCCTACAAGTGGAATTAAAAAAAAAAAAAAAAAAAAATCTAAATCATTTGTCATTTTAAGCTGAATTTTTCAGGATATTAAGTTTATACAGGAAATCAAACATGAGGCTAACAATAGCAGACAAATAAAATTTCTAACAATATACTGAAATGTTTAAAAAAAATGCTGAACCACAGATTCAGATTACAACACATATTTGTAGCTACATAACTATTAAATGTAAACTCAGTATTGTCATGCGTTAAAATTTTTGAAGAAATTCCCGAGTTTCTTCAACCACAAACAGATTTCTAACAAGACACAAGTACCTTATTCATCATATTTGTCAATCTCTGACCCACTTCTTTTCTACCAATCGCCAATATGTGACACATATCAGAAAAAATTCTCCCTAGACTTTCAGGAATGGCTAAGTGGGTTGAGGCAAAAGTGTGTATTCTGACAGGTGTGTTACTTTAAAAGTGACTAAGGAATATTTTTTTACATTTCAAGCAGAAGTGGCTTACAAGCATTTTCTTTGAACATTTTAAACACATGGCTATCTTACTGCAGTAATGATTTTATCATACTTAGGATAATTATACAATTGAAATCTACAAAAATCACAACCAAATAATAAAATAAATAATAATAATAAACAATAAAAAAAAAAAAAAAAAAAAAAAAAAAAAAAAAAAAGTCACCTGTTGAAAATCCAGTTCGCTTATGGCACTTTGTGAATTCTACATTAAAAAATGTCACAAAAGCTTGAATGTAGTCATCTCTTTTTACTTGCAAGTGAAAAGGGCTAGAAAATTTGAGATCTGTAACTTTCACGGTATATAGATCAACTTCCTGTGTGTAAATTAAGAAAAATATACCTATATATTTAGTGGCATAAAAGTTTACATTATTAAAAATGAAATAAAAAAATTTATTCAAATAATTTTAGTAGGCCACCATCTTAAGAGTCTACCATAAAAAATTCCAAGAGTACCAGAAATTTCTTCTCCCCAAATGTACTAATAGGCAACAGTCACTTTTTGCACAAGAAAAGGTAAAAATAAAAATATATCACAGATATTAAACTTTTTTAAATAGCTACTCCGAATAAAAAGACTATATCCTTATTGTAGAATAAAACTCAACATAAAACGAATTTCTGTTTAACCTTCCAAGCAGCAAGACCATATATACAGTCAAAAGTCGTTAATTCGGACACCCATAATTCGAAATGATCTATAATCCGGACCTCAAAGCTACAAACTTTCTGCGCATGCGTCGCATTGACCTTTATGGCGTTATTGCATAAGAACTTTACGACTGCGAATATGTGTGTGCGCATTCGCATAATATGTTTACGCATGCACGTTTAATGTATAATGGACGGTATAAGCTAAGCTAAAATTATCTAATTCAGTTAATGTTGCAGATTGCGTTGTTCCTTAATCTTCGAATTGGATCCGGCTTATTATTTTTTGCAGACTGTTAGAGCAATTTTATAAAAGTAAGCTTGAACTTTCGATTATGTCAAATAGAATTTCCGATATATATTTACTAATATGTAAAGGAGCTACAGAGCGAAAGTATGTTTCGAAGTCGATTAAACAAAAAGCTGAATTGCTGCAAAAAATCGATAAAAGCATAATCCTTTGTTTATCTAACCATCCGAAATCTGTTTATCAATTTCACCCTGCTCTGAAGCTGGGGGAACGGTGCGCAATGAAGAAGTTGATCTGTCAGCACTATCCTTATCTTCAGGGCAGATGTTTTTATTTTATTTGGCTTATAATTCCTTACTAAATGTAGTATTTCATCTCGATGTACTCCGTCTTTGATATGATTTAAATCAAATTCCTCGTCATTATAATTCGCTTCCGATAGTGAAGAAAGTGACACAGAGGTTATTGAAAACGAAAAAATTTCGATTGACAAATTAGTCGGTATTCTCGACACAGCAATTATAGGACTTGAACAGCGGAACTTTGTAACTGAACAAGAAATTATGTCTGTTTATAGAATTAAAGAGAAAGTATTATCACATAAAACGAAGCAACTTAAACAACTTACATTGAAAGAAATGTTTAATAAAGTAAACAAATAAATATTAAGCTTTTTTTTTTGTAAATTTTGATACCCTTTAGATCATAATTGTTCTTTATTTCATAAATTACGGTTTCATATTTTTAATTTTATAATTTCTGCATGCCATCTTACCAGATTTAAACTGATGATCTATAATCTGGAAAAATCGATAATCCGGACGAGTCGGATAACGACTGACTGTATATTTATATGGTATATAGATCTTAGGTATTTTAATGACATAATGCCAAATATATATATATATAGGCCTGAATATTTTTTGGATATCTGCAAGAATGTATATTCGTGATACTAAATGTAAAGAAACTATACTATATCAAAGAAATTAAGGCAACACAAATTCAGGTATAAAATAACAGGGAGAAATTTTACATTAAAATAAAGAAAATAATTTTTCTCACAGCAGTTTTGGGAAATTTGTGCTTTCTTAGTGGAAACCCTGGCTGGTCAGAGGGTTAAAAAGCTCCACTACATGTTTTTGGATTTTTTAAACATAAAATGACATAAACCAAAACAAGTATCAAAACTACAGGTTTTAAACACATATTCTTCTCACTTACAGCATAAAAAAATATTGAAAACAAAATAATAAAGTAACTTTCGAATTGATTTAATTTCTAATGCTAATGAGCAATGCATTGTCCACTTGCTCTACATTTCTGATCTTTATATACCATAGAAAAGATTTTCTAGTTAATGAAAATCATTTCAGATGTAAAACATGACACAAAAAAAAAAAAAAAAAAAAAAAAAAAAAAAAAAAAAAAAAAAAAAAAAAAAAAAAAAAAAAAAAAAAAAAAAAAAAAAAAAAAAAAAAAAAAAAAAAAAAAAAAAAAAAAAAAAAAAAAAAAAAAAAAAAAAAAAAAAAAAAAAAAAAAAAAAAAAAAAAAAAAAAAAAAAAAAAAAAAACAAAAAAAAAAAAAAAAAAAAAAAAAAAAAAAAAAAAAAAAAAAAAAAAAAAAAAAAAAAAACATACCTTTAAAAGGCAGACATTTGTCACCACTTGTTTAGGATCCACAACATCAACCAGGGGCTCCGAAATAGCAACTTTTCTGATGCAACTCATATTAAATCCGTATACACTATCCCACCCTAAAAAAAAAAAAAAAAAAGGGCAAGTGAAGATTACAGATTAAACTGCACTTCTAGCGCACACACACAATGTATATATACCAGAACATCAATATACAGAACTAAAAATGACAAGATCAATGATAACCAAAAAATTAACTATGTAAAAAATTTTAGGAATAATCAGAACAACTGTAAATAAACCAAATTTAACAAACAGATTATGAAAACACAAAATTCTCTTTTGCAATTAAATGATTTCAGTGAGATGCTTAAACCTTTTGGAAAATAATAAATTTTAATAGCTATAGTAATACTTAAATACTTTTGACATAATTTTGGTGTGCTTTCCTCCCCCCCCTTTTCTTTGGTACTTTTTAAAAGCTCTTGGTGAGATATTTAACTTTCTTTGATAAAATTTGATCCAAATTCCATATGTATCCATTATTCACTTAATAACTGACTGCACAAGCTTATTCCACTCCTATAGCAGTGTCGTTTTCAAATCCGGGAAGACTGATCTGAGAGGAGAAAGGCTGCAATTACCCTCAAGAGCATCCCAGGCATCTTCTACAAGATTCAAAACCTTCTAGAACATGCATGGGATATTAACCAGGTGACTGGCGAATTCTGGCTAATATCCTCATTTTCCAGAAATTCATCCACCAGATAAGCTCTGTGGTAGCATTGTTACTGTTATCACAGCTTATTGATATTTAGACTTCTCTGGTGTCATGGTGACACCTATAATTCGTATTGTAAAACTATTGCTCCCTTCATCTTGTTTAGGTATTTTAATGACTATAATTGCCAATACAGGTCACCTGTGAAGCACACAATTATCTGGCTGATGCTATAAGCAAGTTCAGAACCTGGATCTTTTGATCTCCAGCCTGAAACTTTTACAGATTACTCCAAAAACAACTGTCATTGGAGGAAACCATAAATAGCAATATCTTCATGGCAGGCACACACAGTGTCCCTGAATAAGCATGTGGTGGAACACATAGAGATAAAAAATTCATGTGGGTGGTTCTTTGTCTTTCAGCAGTTACGAGCTGGAAGGCGGCATGCTCTGACATAGCAAAAGCAATAATTTATTTTCAGTAACGTCTCCACTTGACAATACAAAAATCATAACTTCATGACCAGTATCAAGAGATTTTACTGATATGCATTGTGTCTGTCACGAAAGCCTCGCGAATACAGAGAGCTGGGAAACCAAGGACTCTTTAGCTCCTCATATTTAACTATATTGAATTAGATGAAGTAAAACAGCTGAAAAATGATGAAGTAAAAAGCTGCGACTAAGTCGGCCTACAAACTGCTACACAGAGTAAAATGTCGTCAGAGCACTCTTAGACTGGCAACTAGACTTGCCATCCTCACATAATGAAGGCAATATTTATCTTGCTGATTTGTTTTATATTATTAATAGAGCTTCTCACAGATTCATAATAAATGTGTTTTAGTTCTATACGTAGTACGTAATATGAAGCCTAACAAAATACAAACTATATCAGTTACCACATGGAGTCACGCCATCAGCGCAACTGATTGTCTTCCCAGCTCTTTGTAGATGATTATAGTCCATAAAAATAAACTGAGAGCCAACAGCATGTCTAAAGAGATAAACATAGGAGTCCTCTTTCCCATATTTCACAGACTCTGTACAAGACAAGAAGGTCTAAGCACCTGCCCAACATGATGCATGTTCATACTGCACTAATTTCTTTCTCAGATTTTTGTACACTGGTAGTATGTGTGCGGTTCTCGTCAAGCACAGAATCAATGGTTAGTTGAATCTGTCAACAGACTGTTTCTTCACTAATGTTTGATAAAAAGTTGATGTTCTCCGCATCATGCTAAACAAACTCTCTTGTGCAACCATAAGTGAGCAGAACACTTACAGCAGATCTTATAAAGAAATATCTCTTACATAGCCTTCTCGTAATAGTAACTCTTAAAACATAGCTTCCTATGAAGAGCATGGCATTTGTGTTACGCAGTGCTTAAATTGTATAAAACCGATTGTTATTGAATACCATGGCTCTTGGATGGGTTAAAAAAAGGCCTTAAGTATTGGGTAGAAGATTATACATGGTGTCCTTACACTTTCCACTGTGAAACAGTTAACATAATTCAGCACTAGTGACAGAAGTACAAGTCAGTTTCATTTCTTTCACTATTAACACATTTACTTAATACACTTTTCATCATACTAGAAAAGAGAAACAGATGTTCTCTTTAATTTAATATTAACATTTCAATAACACTGGGTGGCTGATTATATTAGTAAAATATACCTTTGATACTGAGCTCAAAAATGACTGAAGAATTCATCTTAAAGCAAGTTTTATCTTTTTTTTTAAATTTAGATAATGTTGCAGAGTTATAATACATAATCACATACATGTGATATTAAAAACAAATAAGCAAAGCTATCTGCAATTTCAATTAAGTGAGCTTGCATTTTTAATTGGAATGAAAGGAAAATGCAAGGAAGTGCATGTAATTTAATAAAACCATTTCAGCATAATTAAAATTTTATTCATGAAAGTTGCTAAGCATTTCATACATATATGGAAAAGCAGAATTTAGTGTTTTCAAGTTAAATATTTATGGAAGGAAATGATGACTACTGATTTTTTGATGCACTACACTAAAATCCACCCCTACCCCCAAAATACTAGAATGATCAAATTCCAGTTTACAGAACGTCTGCTCTGCTACCACCAAATTAATGAAACAAGTTTCTAAAAAAAAAAAAAAAAAAAAAAAAAAAAATTATGACAGTAAAATTAACAAAATTTTCACACATATCCGATATTAAAGTCAGATTTCATAGTAAAATGTAAATGGTACACCATAGGAAGAATCACAGACTGATTATTCAGGACAATTTGTGCATTAAAATACTTTCAATTATTGGTAACATAAACCATTTTAAAGAAAGCTACAAGAATAAGATATCCAAAAGACGACAGCCCCAACCCCCAATTTTGTTTCTCTCGACTGATAAGAGAACTATCTTTTAATGCAGACTATCAAAATTTTGTAATGAATATGCTCCAGATACTTACAATTGATTTTTTCATCTTTGTATTGTCTATCTTCAATAGCGCATAGGAACAAGGTAGCTCGATCAGGAAACATCATGCCATCAGGTTTCTACAAAACAGCAAATCCACACAAAAATGGTCAGAAAAATACATTTGGGTACACCTTTTAATAATTTTTGTTACTGACTTCAGATATTGAAGACCAGCATAATAATTTTATATAGTATATACTAATATATTAAAATTTCTGAAATGTTATACGTCTGATCTAAAGTGACAAGATACGAGAAGAAATAAAATACTTTTTTTTTGTGGTTCCCATAAAATATTAATCACTAAAAGGGAATACAAATATTGCAGTATGAAAACATTTTTTAATGTGAAATTTAACAGTGGTATACTATTTTTACGATTTCTTTATATATTTGAAGAGATTTGTACTTATGCAGATAAAACAAAGATTATATTCTAAAACTTTCACTTAAAAAAAGCTTTAGTTAAATAACAAATAGCTCCAAATACATTTTTGATTTTTTTTTTTATTTGAGGTAATTATATAATAATTGTTAACATTACAATTTTAGAATGGTGTATGTCTCTGGTGTAAATTTTTTATTCTGCAGCTTTAAAACTAGTTCACAGACAGGATTTGTCACATGCATATTACTTCAAATAATAAAAAGTGCTGTTTTTGCCATTATTCATACATAACGTGCAATGAACTAGTTATTTTTATTCTTATAATTTTATAATATTCAGGTTTGGATTTTAGAATAAATTTATTATCCTTCAATTTTTTAAAAATACTTTTAACATGTATTTTTGTCTGATAAATTTAGATACAAAGATTTACCTTTCACTACCAAGACTGCCCTACTGCTACACTTATGAAACTACAGCAAGTAATATGTCACACAAAAATGGCAATTTTATTGCACATATACATTTTAAAATATGGTCAGCATTCAAAATTACATTTTGTTAAACTGCTATCTTTTGTTTTTCTGTTCTTGAAATGGTACTCTGAACAAGTTCTGGCCTGTGATAACTTAGATTTCTACGACAAAATACTTCCTTCATTTTTCTTATATTAAAAGGATATTTTGCGGTACATCTGCTGCTTGGGTCACTTCTGACCGATTTTATTTGGCTTCCTATTTTACAGTTCGGAAAACAATTTATTAGATTATAGCAAAGCATATTAGAGCATCTACCTCAAGTGTGAAATGCCTTTGTGGAGAAATTTACACAGAAAAACAGCTCATATTCCCATTACACATCAGGAAAACTTTGGAAACATGCACATAGCCAGCCTATTCACAGGAATTTTAATGCAGCCTTTACAGCTTTTATCCATTCAGTTACTAAACATACTTACAATAATTTATATCACTTTTCTTGATGAATTCAAGCAAGAAACATTCAGGACTTACTTTCGCTGACTGAAAACATATTTACAACAGTCACCAATGTTTTCATATTGTTTTATTGGACATTCAGCTAATTAATTTTTAATTTGCATAACCGTAAGTATGAAATTCTTCAGACATGATTCGTTAAGAGATTTTAAAATGATAGTTCATTGAAATTACTCATATGTCAATTTTAAAACTGTTCATAAAGACCTGTATTTAAACAACTTCTATTAGCTTTATTGCTTAAATGACTTATTTTAACCTCTGTTTACGGAAGCTCCCACTCATTAAGATGATATAATATATATATATTATGAAAAAAAGGTAAGAAAGCAAAATATTTTAAATTACAATCTGATGTATACTAAGTGACAAATAATCTCATGATCAAATAAAGGCAGTCATGCCACTTAAGGGATTAATTTTGCCCTGTTTTTTTACAGATAAGTCATATAAGAGAAACATAATAATACATTATTGACTTACCAGCCATTTATCACGGGCAAAGAGAACAGTGTCTAACATTGATTCATAAAATAAACAATATCCCATCCATTCTGATATGATAATATCCACCTTTTCAGCTGGAATCTCAACATCTTCAACTTTCCCTTTCACAATAGTAATAACTGAAAAATAAATTATTTCAGTGAGTATTATTTCAAATAGTAAATTTTCAAATTTTTTTTAACTGCATTCAAACTTACTGCCTTAACTTTTATAGTAGTAATTCCTAAATTGGGATTTATAAGTTTAATGGTAAGGAGAGTATCTGCATTTTTTACATTAAAATTTGATTGTTATTTAATTATGAAAAATTTAATAGAAGTATCAATAAATTTAATCTTTAAGGGTCCAGCAAAATATACACTTTATTAAAGGGATCCTCAAACTTCTTGAAAAACATTAACTTAGATTGTTTTTACACTCATTTAATTACTTTTAACTGCACTCATCACTGTCATGAGAATAAATACTAAGCATAGATTTATGCCGCTATGCATTTAATTTTATATTCTAGTTGGACATAATATTTATACAACTAATGTGATAACCTACTCCATTATTGTCACCAACAAAGGAAAAAATACTATTTATTAAATGTTTCACATATTAATAGTAATTTAAAGAGAAAACTTTTAAAGCTTATTTATGTAATTCAAATTAATACAACATTTCTAATATTTAAAAAAAAGAAGCCTTATATATTAAAAAAATAGCTGCTAATTATAATACATATTATAATGTGCTTCTGATAAAGTCAACTATTTTAATCATTTTTATTAGATAATCTTGAAAATACATTCTTGTAATTATTACACAAGATAGATATTCTTTATGTCACAGATGAGCATGTTTCATGTCATAGAAAAATAGACATGATTTTTTTAATTTAATATTTTATATTATCAAAAGCTATAATTTATTTATACATTTAAGAAGATATAGAAAACTTAAATTTACTTTTTAAAAAGAGAATGATTATGGAATCAAAGCCAGCTGATCAGTATAAATGGTAGAGACTTGTATACTGAAAGGCTTGAATTTTGGCAAAAGTATTACATTTATAGTGTCTAAGCACTCAAAATCTGAAGGTGTAAAATTCAGTATTTATCACTTCCTATCGGTTATGTACTCTATCTATGACAAAATATCCCATGTAATCTATGACAAAATATCCTGATATTTTGGTGTTCTTTGAAACAATTCATAATTATTCAGCTTTTAATCAGCTGTCTTGTGATCATGTCCATTAAATTACAGCACTATTTTTTAAAGCTTATTTTACTATAAATGGAACTACAATGCCATTGTTTGGATTATAACCTCACAGTATGCTTCTATTTAGTAAAAGCACATACAATAGGAAAAAAAAATTATGAAATTTTTTTTTTAGCATTTTAACGCTGTACAGCATGCAATTCCTTTGAAGTATGTTTGAATTTACCGAGTTACTTTGTTGTTTCCCTTCATCTATGTTTCTCACTAATATTTTGCTTCTTGGGGGAGGGGCATAAAACTGCCCTAAAAATGTGACCTGAGATAATATATATGGATCTAAAAATCTTCTCCAAGAGATCAGATGAAAGGAAAGCAGAGGTAAAAAGAGATCCCAGATCCCATGCGCCCTAGGCAACCGATCAAAATAAGTATGAACAAAGCAGTGTTGATAGATAGTTTTTCAAGGTCTGCGTCTAAGGACTTAAGCAATAACAATACAAATTCAAATAGATATAAAAAATAATAATGATAAATAAAATATGCACATAAAAATACAGTACAAAAAGTATTCACAAAATTTTTTGACAGTGATAATTTTTAAATTTTATGAATTGTAGTACTGAAACTTGGAAATAAAAGCTCTGCACTACCATCCTAATTTACCTGCACCTACTCTGCAATACTAGTAGCTTTCTTTTTTCAACTAGTATAACCTAAATAACTTATTTGCTATTTTACATTCTGGATATCAAAATTAATATTTTTAGGATCCATTTTTTTACATTAATCTTGTAAGGAATTGAATATTTTTCAGATGATCCAAGATTAAATTTGAAAATCTAGGTGCTTGTAGTTACCTAACTTATGACTAAATAAAACTCTTAAGCCTATTTATGACGAGATTATAATTTAAATTCTGATATAAGACATTTTCTCTACTTCTGCAGCATAGCAAACATTTACTGAGAACATGTCTGGAATGCACCTACTATTTCAGCTCATCCAGAAAGTACTCAGCAAGGCCTTGCTTTGTAATTAGCTCTGTTATTGATTTTAAAAAAAAAGGTCTATTCTAAATTATTGTCACTTTGTACAAAACATATTTTTGTCTATAATACTTTGGAAAGAGATTTAAAAGATCCAGTCAAGTTGTCATAATGTGAACCATTTACTATTATTATCCATTATACAACAATCTTTGGCAGATGTTAGATTTCAACACTCTAAAAGTCAAATTAAATCCTAAACCAAGGAAAATAAAAGTCAACATGTCTGCAACTTTTGGTCTGCACAATTTGACTGTCAGCAAAACACATGCTATATATCCTCTGTGTGCAGATATAGGTGCCAGTTTACATAACAAGAATGCCAATCCCCGTGTGCATTGTAACACCTCTTCTATTTTTTTTTTTTACAATTATTAAAAAAAAATTAAATACTAAAGCATATAAAGACAACCCTTTCTCTGCTTTAAAAGAATATACTGGATATGAAACATTTCGGTGATTCAATTATAATAATCTCCCTTCTGGGATTTTAAAATTTCTATGCCCTCTTTTTTTTTATATCACGATTTCACCCTGTAGGCCCCTGCATATAACATGCATCACTGTTCAACAATTGATGGTGGTTTCATTTTTATTATTCTAAAAGACATGTGGCATTGCAAGTATTATAAATCACTTCTCAGTCACAGTACAACCATGAAAAGCAATATAATCCTGCCAGTAGATAGTCCAGTCAGAGTTCTCTGTTCTCAGCTTGAGAAACAAGCCATTGAAGTTGTTTTTGCCCACGCATGCTCCGATTCCAATCACATCCCGAGATGTCTCGCTATGTTCTTCCATGGCGGAATATGCAAATATTTAAGTTACGTTTTTACGTCGTTTCGTACCTTTTCATTTGATCACCCCTTGTATTAAATTTTCACTTTCAAGGAATGATCATCCATATCATGTGTGCAAGTGCAACTTAACTGTTTTCAACGACTTCTCGCTATGTAGCACTAATGATATATATATATACCAATTACTTTTACATTAATTATAAGTAACCACTAGAGACAAAATAAAAGTATTAATGTATAAATAACTTACTGTCATCTAAATGGTTTTCCTTAGTTATTTTTTCTGCATGTTCAACTATTCCTGAACATTCAATCTAAAATAAAAAAAATCAAGAAAGAAATTTACTTCCTAAAAGCAATTATTTATGTCCAACATGTCACAGAATGTTAACATAGCATATCACGAATAAAAATGACATAGATATACTTATTAAAAGACAACTGGGTAGTTTGAAAACTGAGAAGAAACAATTCATGGTTGACACTCAACTGAAAAACTTATATGCAATATCACACAAATCAAAGCTCGAACCTAATCTATTTTTAATCTGCAATTACTGTATATTATATAAGATCAAGAAAGAGAATTGCAGAATTCTGCTTTTCAGTTTTTGAAGAAGTCTCTAATTTATGATTTTAAAGCAGACACTTATATCACATCCTGGATGCTATGGTTTTATCCTCCTTGATCTCATTTAGTATGCTCAAATCTTATTACATTTTGCTTATTTATTTGAAACATATACTTTGATCAGGATTCACCACTACACACAAAAACATGCATGCATCAATTTGGGCCAATTTATCAAATGGGATAGAAGAATGCGATTCACGAGAAAAGGAATTTACTGGGTTACTGTATTACTTCTCAAAGATACTGCTTTGCTAGCTAACAATCCTATTATATACTGGTTGATATCTCTTGGCACAGTAGAAAGTTGGGAGAGGAGATTAAACAATAATTCCGTAGTGTTGTATATTAAATCAAAATTTCCAGATTGATTATTTTACATTATCTGCAGCTGAAAGACTCTTTGATACTACCTTAAAAATTACAAAGAAAAAATGCATAAATCGCATAAATAGTGCTTATACATTCGAATAGTGTGAAATAAAAAAATTCTTAAAATATGTTTAGAAATTTTAAAAGCAGTAACCATAAACAGTTGACAGAATTCTCTATTAGGGCTCGTACACATCTTTCCCAAGCACTTTATATCTCAGCTAATTAAAGTCGTACGAAGACATTTTATAGCCTATAACCTTTTCTAATATATCAAAACCATTTCTTGAAAATTTCATGATGATCGGTTAAGGCGTGAAAGCGTAACAAACACACAAACTCGCATTTGCATTTATAATATTAGTAAGGACTTAGACATGAAGCCTATATCTCCCCATCATCAGAGACAGAAATTTATCAACAACAAAAGAAATAGGGTAAAAATTGGAAAGCCAAAATAAAAGCTTTAAAAGAATGCCTTCGCATGAGAAAAAAAGGTAAAAACTCAAGATGGACATTATAAATTAAATTTTACGTCGAAAAATTACGGCCTAGAATCAATTTAGAAGCGGTAGTCATCACAAAAAAATAAAACGTGAAATTCCTGGATTCTTGATTTAATAAAAATAAAAGTACAAACAATGCGAATGAAAGAAAACGCTTGTGACAGTCAATGACTTGAAATCGGTCGCACTTCGGGTCTGGGAGGAGGTCAATTCTTTTTGCATACATTTAGAAAACGAACTTTTCACTAATTTTTCATTAACGGCAAAATTATGTAACACCTCTGCTTCACATGTACATTTTTTTAAACAAAGTTTGCCTTGCCAACACAACTTAGCAAGATGTTACAACTTTGTTTAATACTTAAAATATGATGAATGAAGTAAAAATATAAATTTCAATTACATGACAATAAAATAGTACCTATACAGGGATGGTTGATTACTAAATATGTGTATGAAAGCTTGATACAGTTGGTTAAGTAAATTGAATATAACAAAAACATGAGAGCTATCTGCATTAAGAAGAGGGATGCCTTTGTGGAAGATGTTCTGTGGGGAACTGGCTCATTTTTATTACATATGGGGAAAATCTTGAAAACCAGGCTGTTCACCTGAAACTTATGATTCAGGTGTGAACTATGTATAACAACATGATTCTGACATAAACACATTTATGTTCAATTACATACTCTAAATTTTATGTTCTTTGTTTAATTTAATTTTGCAACTTTCTTACACTTTTATACTAAGAAATCCTGAGTAAGGAAGTAAAGCTTTAATCTATCAAAGTATGTTTAATCACAAAAATAAAATTTAGAAGTCACGTACATAGTGTTGTGGGGATAAACTTAGACATGTACTATACATTGATATAAAACAAAAGTAAATACAAATATGTACTGATCCGTATAAATTTCTAAGATGTCTACAGTAGATTAAGACAGTTCAGATCAATAAAATTAAATAACAAAAATTATGCTGAAGATCATTAGGGTTTAATTTAATTTTGCAACTTTCTTACACTTTTATACTAAGAAATCCTGAGTAAGGAAGTAAAGCTTTAATCTATCAAAGTATGTTTAATCACAAAAATAAAATTTAGAAGACACGTACATACTGTTGTGGGGATAAACTTAGAAATGTATTATACATTGATATAAAACAAAAGTAAATACAAATATGTACTGATCCGTATAAATTTCTAAGATGTCTACAGTAGATTAAGACAGTTCAGATCAATAAAATTAAATAACAAAAATTATGCTGAAGATCATTAGGGTTTAAAGAATGAAACTGGCACAAGTTAATTTTGGTTAATTCAATAAATTTTACTAACTGCAGAAAAACACTTCAATTAGTAAAGGATAAAAATAAAAAAGGCGAGATTTAATGAAATATTTATTAATTGAAAAATTTTAATATTTCTTGCTACTTCAAACATAAAAATAGCATGTTTTATATCATCACTAAAACAAATGAATGAAAAATGACATAAAATTATGTAAATAAAGGGCACTAGCAAGAAAAAAGGTTTATATAACATACCCCAATAACTTTAGCAGCACCAGCTTTAGCTGCAAACATACACAAGATGCCAGTACCACAACCAATATCTAACACTACTTTACCACGAAATAAGTGTTTATTGTGATACATAGCATTTCTGTAAGTCAGAGTTCGCACTTCATCCTTCAGCATCTCCTAAATAAATAAATTTCACAATTAATATTTTTTATTCAATAACTATTTGCCTAAATTTTTACATTTGCATAAGCATTTTCTAGTCATCATAACTAATTAATTTTAAAGACAACAAATATTAAAACTTTACTAATCCTAATACACTTCACTCACGTCTGTTAATTTTTCATGGTTAACATGTAGGATGTAACATAAGGCAATTTTTAATCTATACTAGAAACCTCCCCCCCCAAAAAAAAGAAATACAAGCATATCATACTCTTTCAAACATTTTATTTTTTATGTATAGCAAAATATGGGGGTTGAACAAAAATATGGAAACATCTCATAAAGCGCATGATTGGACTGAAACATTTATTCTTACAAAAGCCGATGTGTTTTCTTACTAACGCCACCAGTACAACATCCTCAATATGCTGTGTCATTCGTTATGAAGACAGTATTTTGTGCAGGTATGAGTGCATCATGTCGGAGCTAAATGAATTCAAATGTGGGCAAATTGTATGGGCTCATATGGTGGTTGCTTCCACAACCAAGGTAGTTGAAGTGTTTGGTGTTTCAAGAGGCACAGTAGCTAAGATTTTTAACTCATACAAGAAAGCCAAAAAACTGCATCCGCTAAATCCCAATGTGAACGAAAATGTGTCTCGAGAGATCATGACAGGCGATCATTGAAGAGGATTGTTATAAAAAATAAGAGGACTACAATCACAGAAGTGACTGCTGAACTGAATGTTGTACTCGCAAACCCTGTCAGCACCAAAACAATATAAAGGGAGCTCCACAAGCAGGATATTTTTGCGTAAGCTACAATTGTAAAGCCATTCATCAGTGATCAAGCTGCCTGTAAAAGGAGAAAGTGGTGCCAAAGTCATAAAGCTGGACTGTAGAGCAATGGAAGATTGTCATTAGGTCAGATGAGTTCTTGCTTCACACCGTTTCCAACTTCTGGGTGACCTTATGTCTGGCAAAGGCCGTCACAAGAGGATTGATAGAGACTGTTTACTGCCAATAGTGAAATGAGGTGTAGGATCAGTCAGGGTTTGAGCAGCCACATTGTAGCATTCCATGGAACCCATCATTACTGTGCAAGACCACATTACTGTCAATGATTATGTGATAATTTTGGCTTATCATGTCCAACATATGGTACATATTTTGTTCCCCTTTGGTGATGCCATATTCCAAGGCGAGAGAGCTCCTGTTCACTCAGCTCGCATCGTCAAGGACTGGTTTTCTGAGCATGAGGGTGAACATTTACATTTACCATGGCCATCAATGTGACCAGATATCAATATCATTGAACTTTTCTGGGCTGTTTGGCAGAGAAATTTGTGCGAGTGCTATCCACTGCCATCATCATTAACTGAACTTGCCAATGTTTAAAGGAAGATGGTACAAGATTCTCTTGCAAAGTATACAAGACCTCTATTTTCCCATTCCAAGGCAACTAACTGCAAGCTGTTTTGAATGCCAACGGTTTTCTCAGACAATAGAAGTCAGAGCAATATGTTTTATTTCAGTGTTTCCATATTTTTATCCAACCCATATAAAAATTTGGTCTATTTTTAAGAACAGGAATGGATCAAACTATTTAATTATTAATTAAAATTTAATATTAAAACTATTACAGTAAAACGTTCGCGATCCAGACTCGTCGGGACTTCAGCCATTCTGGATTTGGGATTTTTCCAGATATCAGATCATCAGTTTAAATCTAGTTAAATGGCATGTAGAAATTGTAAAGTTAAAAACACGAAATCATGATCTAATATTTGTATGTTTACTTTATTAAACATTTCTTTCAATCTAAGTTGTTAAAGTAGCTTTGTTTTTTCTGCTAATACTTTCTCTTTAATTCTATAGACAGATGTAATTTCTTGTTTAGTTACAAAGCATTATGGTTCAAGTTCTGCAATTGCTGGGTTGAGAATTCCAATTAACCTGTTAATAGAAACTTTTTCGTTTTCAATAAGCTCTCAGTCACTTTCTTCACTATAGGTAGTGGTATTTTCTGGATATAGAACTATACTATTTTCGCCATCCGTTGATTGATGATTCGGGCATTGTCATCGCAATGAAAAACTTCTGTTAACTACTCTTTTCCCCTAAATTCTGCCGCCCGGTGCCGCCATGCCTGTTCTGGTTTTATTTGGGGGAAAAAAAAAAAAAAATCGGTTATTCTTCATTCAAACAGCATTAAATGTAATCTTTTGGCCTATGAGTATCATTAACAAAATCTATTTTTAGCATATGAAAAGAAATTTTTGTTAAATCTTTCTTTGTCAACATTTCTTAGGGTATATAACTTAAATCTAATCGATGTCAAACATAATGTCAACAGAAAAGATTACCATACTCTGCGTTATTCAATTACTGATACACACACACCACAAAAAAAAAAAAAAAAAAAAAAAAAAAAAAAAAAAAAAAAAACCCCACTGTGTAGGCATCACTGCACGAGTCATTACTCAAATTGTCATGTGTTGATAAACATGTGGCAATGAAAGGTTAGGTTCGGTTATTCAATTATGGCAAAGCCTTGAGGGCTATCTGCCTAAGGGGAGGGATGCCTTTGTGGAGGACTTTCTAAAGGAAACTGGCTCGTATACACATTACACATGGGGAAAACCACGAAAACACCCATGCAGCCAGCCCGTTCGGGGGATTCGAACCTCGGACCGAACTACCAGTGTTCAGTGACTTCACCGCTTGGCTGCTGGTGAGCCAGCAATGAAAGGAAAATATAATAACTAATCACCAGGTTGGCGTGAAGGATATAAAACATTAGTTGGCGTTTCTAATGTAGAATCAACAATGTTTCTAATGTAGAATGTTTCAGTCTGAGATGCATGGGCCAAGCAGATATGCAGCTAAAAAGAAAAATTAAGTTATATGTGTACTATACATATTTATAAAGGAAGAAAGTGCTGTTCTGATATAGATCTGAATCAGGTTTTGATGGGACATGGACAATTTCCTTCAATAGCCTTGCAGGAAAACAATCTTTGTTGGCTACAATTTCCTTCAATAGCCTTGCAGGATTGGCTATGTAGAGTAAGAGGTGATAATGTTCACTTTGTTGAAACCTGTGGCTTGACTGCTAGTATTAGAGATAAAATGAAAAATCGAATTTCCAGGAGACCTTAAGGACTATAGTAAAATGCTGCTTTATTCGAGGGAAATAATAAAGATGTTTGGAGTAGATGTGTGAATGATGTGTACCTGTTTTCTTTTCTTTATTTGTCACTTTATTACATGTTTAACTATTTATTTTTTCAGTTTGTTTTCTTTTGTCGGGCTGGTCTCTAAAAGCTTTGTGGCTGAATCATCGGCTGGGAAAGCTGGGGGCTTTACCCTCGTAGTAACTACACAGCTATGGACCCAAATTATTGGTTGCACAAATTTATGCTAAAATGATTATTTCTTCAATAATGAGGTATTTTATTTAGTGCTGAAGCGAGATTAAGAATTGAGACTCTTCGCAAGTGTTTTATTATAAGAGGGGGGGAATGAAATACACATGCGTAAAACATACCAAGGGGAGGGGGAAAGTCTTAAAACAAAAATGGTTGTTAATGGCTTTGAGGTCCGGATTTTAGATCATTCTGGATATTGTACTTTGTACTGCATTTTTTAATGCAAAAGCAGCAAGAATATCTGCCTAAGCTCTATTCCAATTTTGACGTACAATATTTCAGAAGGTATAGAATGTTTGCCTTAGATTACATTGAGCATAGCAGAACACACGTGAGCTATTTGCCTAAGAAGGGATGCTTCCACTCATCAGCAAACTAAAAGTACATTTTACATACTGTGGGAAAAGGAATTGAAACACTGTGAAAATTTCCTTAAATAAATACAGCAAGTGGGATTTTTTTTAAACATTTTGTATATTTTAAATATCATGTTCTTCGCACTTAAGCCACAAAACTTAATTCAACAGCAAAATAATTAAATAATTTTAAAATGAGCATATCTTTATAATTTCCAATACACAGTTTCATGCGGTGGACATAAAAATGTTTTTTTCGTAGTAATGCCATAGCTTGCCTTGAAATCGTTGAGTTCGTTAATAAAAAATTCGTTAAAGTGTTAAAAACGAATTCTACAGGGCTCTAAAATTTGGTGGCAACAGTTTAAAAAATGATTCGTCTTCTATAGTGAATCAATACAAAATGCTAAAATGAAATTAACAGCCCTTCGCAAATTGCTCCTGTGGGCTAATGCACTATGGAATCATTATTTAGATTATCACGAGAAAATACTTGAGATTTATCTATTAATACTTTTAACAACATGGCATATCATCAGGCATTTTAAATAAAACTTTCGTTTTTGAAAGGCTACTACAGTACAAAGTCCGTAATCCGGACGTCCATTATCTGGAATGATCTATAATTTTAATGACTCTTATAGTGATTGCTAAACAATTTTTTTATACTAGTAATTGAATAATAAAGAGTATAGTAACATTTTATGCTGATATTATGCTTCGCGACGATAAGATTTAAGTTAAATACACTGAAAAATTTCATAAAAATTTCTCTCCGTATGCTAAAAAGAGATTTTGTTAATGATACTTATAGGCCAAAAGATTATATTTAGTACTATTTGAATTAAGAATAACTGATTTATTATACGCATAACCCTAGAGCCAGCGCCAGGGCTCGTATGGCTGCACTGGGCAGCAGAATTTAGGGAAGACAAAGAGAAATGCTTGGTAGCAGGACTTAGAACCCACAGAAACTGCATCATGTATCTAGCGCCGGCTCTCAATAAACTTTAAATATATGTCAGAATTTACTTATTCAGGACTCAGATAAGCATTAAACATGTGTAAGAAATAGACATAAGTATAATAAATAATTAAACTAATACAATTTAGGCTTAATTGTCTCAGTGCACAATAGAAGCAAGATAAAATTTAGCAGAACTTGTCTTTAGTTGCCAATCTCATGATACGTAGCTAAGTATGTTATAGTGAACAATAACTTTATTTTATTATGATAGCCACAATTAAATGTTTTTGGATATCGCAAACCAAATGTGCAATTTTCCAATTTATCAGATTTTGTAAAGAAATGTGGAGAAGCGGTAATAAATGAAGATGATATAAAGAAGTTTTTCATTGTGATGACAATCCTCCTCAATCATCAATCAATTAATGGATGGCGAAATCTGTAGTATGGTTAGTTCCAGATTCATAAAATACCGCTGCCAATAGTGAAGAAAGTGACAGAGACTGAAAATGAAAAATTTTCAATTGCTAAGTCAGTCAAAATTCTCGACACAGCAATTACAGGACTTCAACAATGTAACTAAATAAGAAATTATATCTGTCTACAGAATTAAAGAGAAAATATTAGCACAAATAAGAAGCAACTTAACTTGCATTGAAAGAAATGTTTAATAAAGTAAACAAATAAATATTAAGCTTTTTTTTTATTGTAAATTTTGCTATCCTAAAATGTTGTATTATCATAAAATGCTGGGGATAGCACGAGATATTAATTACTGATTGATGCAGGTTGTTGCAAGACATTAAACCTCTGAAGATGCTCACAAAAAAAAATGTATTTATGAATTGGTTGTTGTGGATTGCATGAGACATTAATTTTTGATTGTTGCAAGATATTAATTAAAATCTCTGAAAGCAATAATTTAGCAATAAAAGATTTATTTACGAATTGGTTGTGTGCTTGAAATGCCCACTCATCTGGCAGGCTTGCTAGTTTATATTAATTTCTGTAATTATTCTTAATTTATAATAATTTGAAATGAATTGAAAGAAGAAATGCAATGTGTTAAATTATTATGGTGAGTGGCAAGAATAGTAAATAAATCTACTAATGTGTTACGAACAGAAGCACAATTTTACTTGAAAACAAAAAGTGAAATAAAAATATTTGGAGAAAAATAAAAACTGATTTAAGTAAATAAACACTTAAGTATTTACACACATGTATACATACCAATCAAAACTGACATTAAATTTACCAAACAAAATATGATGCCGCTTACCCCATTTAAGATTTCCTTTATATAAAAACATTCATGTCTACTATTCCTTCCCTTTTATTTTAAAGCAGACATGCAGATTTCACAAAAACATTAAGCAAAATTTTAAACCTATTAACTGTATGGAAGAAGATAATTTACTTCATGAATTCCAAAATGAGCATAAGAATCAAAGTAATAGTCCTTTGACGTCATTTCCTCTGGTCGATATGTAGTAAGACCATCCATTTCCTTTTGGCAACGAAAGCAGTACTTTCCTTTGCTATCAAATTCAGCTACCTCTCCATTTGGAAGGTCACCATTAGCTACAATAGGAGACGACTCTGTGGTAGAAACCTATAGCAAGAAAGTTTAATTATATACATTTATTTAGTAAACTGTTTCAAATTGCTAAGAGAAGACAGCTGATAAAAATGACTAAATGATTAAAATTTTACTTTTAAGTGCCAACAATCATGAAATTACAACATGCAGGAATTTGCAGCATTATATGACCGTGACTTATCTTTTATAAATATTATATTAAAATAAAACAATAAATGCAAACGACTTACCTCCATTAATTCAGACATGATTTAAGAAACCTAGAAAGCCAAAAAAAAAAAAAAAAAAAAAATCATTATGCATAGCAAAATTATTACTACACATTGCATATCTAATATACAATGCTGTACATTTAGTATACAAAATCATTTCAGTAATAATGTACTACACTGACTACCAATAAAATATTTGGACACCTGTGATAGAAAAGAAAAACTAACTTTATTCAAAATCAATAGTTGGTAGGGCCTCCACGAGAGGTAATTACAGCGTGGACCCTCCGGGGCATACTTTCCACAAGTTTTTGTATAACAGCTAGTGGTATTTTCTTCCACTCGGCTTGAAGAAGACATAGAAGTTCCTTTCACCGATTTTGCACGGGTAGTGCACCCCTGAATTCGGCGATGCAACTCATCCCAGAGGTTCTCGATAGGGTTCAGGTATGGACTCTGGGCAGGCCAGTCCATTCGATGAACTCCATTGGCACCATACCAAGCCTTGGTTAACGTCGAAACATGACAACTGGCATTGTCGTCCTGAAAGTAACAGGGGTCCAACCCGTAAAAGTGCCACAACGTAGGAAGCACATTGTCATCCAAAATAGTGCAGAAGGCATCAGAGTTGAGCTTACCATGAATGGGAACCAAGGATCCCAGCCCATACCAGGAGAAACACCCCCAGACCATAATTCCACCTCCGCCAAACTTGACTGTTGGCACAACGCATTCTGGCAGATGTTCTCCAGGTAGACACCAGACCCAGACCCTGCCATCCGAACGGTAAAGTGTGAACCTTGATTCGTCACTCCAAAGAACCCGTTTCCACTGATCTACGGTCCAAATTTCGATGTGCTTTGCACCACATTAACCGAGCAGCGTGGTTGGACTTTGTGATCAAAGGCTTATAGGCAGCAGCACGACCATGAAAACCAAAGCAGATGTGCTTCCTTACGGATAGTATTCATTGAAACAATACTCCCTGATGCCTGTTGAAACTCCTCGCGGATGAGGGCCATCAGTTGGGTGCGGTTGTTTCGAATTTCTCTGAACAGCACTCGTCGGAATCCATCTCCCAGTTTCGTTGGTCTGCCGACTCGGGGCACATTCCGACAATCACCGCTCACCTTCCACTTCTTAATCACATAGGCCACCGTCGATTTTGGTACTTGAGATCGCTAGATATGTCCCTTAAGGATCGGCCACATTTGTGATACTCGATAATTACACCTTTCTCGAAATCAGAGAGATCCGAACTGCAAGATATCTTGCATGCGACTAAAGCCGATACTGTTTCCTACACGATATATACCAGCGGAGTCCGTTACGTACCTTAGGACTGCAGATATCGTTATTTGCATAGGTGTCCAAATACTTATTGGTAGTCAGTGTATGGTAGTTCTTAGATGGTACTTCTCATACACTATTTTTCAGTATGAAAACAAGTACGATTAATTCAGGAAACACACAAAAATTATTCCATTAATTAAACCAACAAATTTTCTCCCAATTTTACAAAACAAAAACAGTCACAGACATAAAAGAGTAATTTTTATAAGATGTTCAGCCATATATATAATAAATGTCACACAGTATGGACAAAATATAGTCATCATTCACTCTGTAAAATCTTTAGCTTCAAAATCACCCAGCACAATCCAGTTTGAGTAATACCAATTCAATAACAGCTTTATAAAAAAATTAATAGCCTTCATATTCGAATAAGTGATAAAATGGGAGGAAAAAAGAAATGATTAAAATTACTAATTTTAATGGTATTACAGAGTTTGTCTTCTTAGATAACATAAACTAGATCTCAAACTCTAAAAGACAATCTGTGAATTACCACGATGTATTGTAAGTACCACACAGACAAGATGTAATGGACCCTTTTATTTAACAATTGGCACCAACTCAAGCCAACATTTACAGTTTAAATGAAAGATGAATGAACTAAAGCTAATGAAAATAAGTTACCCTAAGAGCTTCATAATTGAAATAGTGTGCAAACTGACCCTGACCTGAGGTCAGCATAAACAAGCCTAACGGCAAGAATAACTCAATGCAAGAGATCCCAATCGCAAGAGAATCAAACTTAATAATGTAGCCTTCAAGTAGGCAGAACACATTCTGATCTACCCCTTGAAACATTCCTTTAAATACTCTCTACTTTCTACCTCATTTGCATATCACACGAGGAGAAATATACATTCTGGCAAAAAAATTGAAATTAAGGTGATGGAATAGAAAATTAACATAAAATAACTGGTTATAAACTTTAAAGACACCTTATAGCATCATCTAATAAATAAAATCAGATCATATACTACATCCTTACCAAGATTTTAAATGAATATGAAGAGTTAAAACCATCTAAAATAATCTGTTACGGCCTATTACCCAATACTAATACCATATTTATTTGGGTGAAGGGCAGAATCGTCCACTTATTTGGCACGTTATGTTCGGTGCTTTTTACAAGAGTAAGAAAAATTGGATATTTCTCAATTTCCTTTGACTGTTTAAGTGAAAATACATCGAGATATACATGGACAAAGGGTAGTGAGCAATGCTGAATTTGTGCAATTCTCCGATTTTTTTTTAAGTGAAATAAGTCGATGCGTACATGGACACCAAGTTTGTACAATTCTTAAAATCGCGCCAAGCAGTGGGTGATTCTGCACTTTCCCCTATTTATTTAATCCAATAAAAGGTTAATATCATACATTAATTAAATTAAATTTACAGAAATCAAAGTCTGTTCAAATTTTTAAACCACAGCATAATTTCCTTTCTCATAAGATGAGTAAGATTTAAATTTGTAAAGACCTTTTTACTTTGATGATTGAAAACTGTGTTGCCTCTATGTAACAATTTTACTTTAGTTCAGAGGTAACATTGCTTACCTCTTATCAAGTTCTTGTGAGGCAATTTTAAAATGCCCCCGTCTTAAAATTTCTAAACTTTAGATGTATGGACAAAAAAAACTTGTAATTTTAATGAATGATTTTTAATAAAAATTCTTGTTTGATGTCCTCTTCTAAAGAAACTGACACTACCGAGATTAGAATTAATGAGTGCAGTTATTGCAGCCAGAATTGCTGATTACCTAAAAGATGTATTCAAAAGTGTGCAATGTTTTACTTTGGTCAAACTCTTCCATTACACTGCATTGGATAAAAGGAACGGTGAAGGATTGGAAACCATTTGTATCCAATAGAGTAGCTGAAATAAGGAACTATACCGATCCCTTACAATGATTCAGAGATCAGAGCATATCTGAATTTACTCTTGACAGTTACGTTCATTTTTCATTCATTCATTCGTGCAGACTGTCCCAGTCCAGTAGGCGGATAGCTCAGTTCCAGTGACTTAGTGTGCGAACTATCTTAACTGATTTAGGTACCCTCGGGTATGCAAAAATGTCCTTTTTTAGGACACCATCGTCAAAAAAGGATGAAGAAGATACGGATAGATCTTTTAGATCAACAGAGTCACACAAGCTAAGGAAAGAGGATTTCATCAAGTCTCCGAAAAAGAAAATCAAGAAAGCTAAAACTACAAAGAATGTTTAGGAAGAAATACTCGAAGCGCTGAAGACCAAGTACAATACGGATAACATACATGAAATAAATGACGTGGAACTAGCCAAATTAATTCCGGATTTTGGTGTAGAAGCACTCACTAAGATGATGAAAGAACAACCGAACAGGAATCTCATGGAGTATATTGCGAAAGTAAAAAGAAAAGCAAAGAAAAGAGGCAGAGCAGTTAGAAAAAGAAAAAGACAAGGAAATTAACGCTAATGAAAAAGTATGGAAATCACCATAGAAATTTGTGAAACCCACTAAAAGTCCAGAGCCGATGGAAATTAAAAATAAAAATCGCTTTGAAAACTTGGATACCGAAGCTAATACAATCAAAAGTCGTTAATTCGGACTCGTCGGGACTTCGGCGATTCCGGATTATAGATCATCAGTTTAAATCTCGTAAGATGGCATGCAGAAATTCTAAAATTAAAAATATGAAACCGTAATTTAAATTACGATCCAAAGGGTATCAAAATTTATAGAAAAAAAAGCTTAATATTTATTTTTTTACTTTATTAAACATTCCTTTCAACGTGCACATACATAAAGTGTACATTACGCATAGTCGAAATTAGAAAATTGCAACCAGAAAACTATTTGATGTGTATTCGTGATATTTATAATGACGAGGAATTTGATTAAAATCATATCAAAGACGGCGTACAACGAGATGAAACACTACATTTAGTAAGGAATTATAAGACAAATAAAATAAAAATATCTTCTCTGAAGATAAGGATAGTGCTGACAGATCAACTTCCAGTTCATTGCGCGTTGCAACGCCCCCCCCCGGCAGAGCAGCGTGAAATTGATAAACAGATTTCAGAATGATTAGAGAAACAAATCACCTCTCTGTCACTTTCTTCATACCTTTATCCATTTTTTGCAGCAATTCCACTTTTTGTTTGACGGACATCGAAACATACTTTCGTTTTGTAGATCCTTTGGGAGCTCCAGCATCGGAAATTCTATTTTGACATAATCGAAAGTCAAGCTTACTTTTATAAAATTGCTCTTACAGTCTGCAAAAAATAATAAGCCGGACCCAATTCGAAGATTAAGGAACAACGCAATCATGCAACATTAACAGAAATAGATAATTTTAGCTTAGCTTATACCGTCCGTTATACATTAAACGCGCATGCGAAAACGTATTCTGCGCTTGCGCACACGCATATGCAGAGTCGTAAAGGTATTACGCGCACGCATAAACGCCTATGCGTATGTGTGAAAGCGGCGCATGCGCAGAAAGTTTTTAGCTTTGAGGTCCGGATTATGGGTGTCCGAATTAACGACTTTTGACTGTACTGAAGGAGGAGGAGCCAAGAATGATGAAATCCCGCCCCCCATAGTATTCCAGCAAGGACAAATTGATTGGCTGAAAGTTGCAGGATATTTAAGAGAAAACCGTACCAACGAATTTGCAGCGCAAATGATTATCTTCGTACACCTGAA